GTGTAATTATATTTCATCAATCTCAATTAATTTTTTTTTTCCCGACGGGTCCAGCACGGGCGGCCACCCCGACTAGCCAGTGCAGGATCCGCCCCTGTATACAACATTAATAAATTAGAACAAAAATTTCACCATTCTTAAGAAATTAGCTCTTCAGATTATAATTTAACTTGTTAGAATATTGTGAAGTATAATAATCAGTCTTCTAAATTAAACTAAACATTGACCTTGATTTTTATTTTTTATTAAACTTAAATTTAAGTTTTTTTTCTTTGATCTTAAAGTAGAAGAATTTTCGGACGTGCCACCTCTAATTGGCCAAAGGAAAAACTTTTATGATCTAATATTTTGTATAAGATCATTCTTTCACAAGTCAAAAGGATTAAGTTAACCTCATTAAAATATAGAAATCAGCCAAAAGTATTGGTAAAACGTAAAACATACTTGTCATTCTCGTCAAGATGATTAGGAAGGGCCACGTTTATGAGTTCATCGAGGTTGACAAAGATGGCAAGGAAGGATCATTTTAAGATATTTTTTGATCTTCATAATCATTCTAACTGTTTAGCTCGTTTGATGCACATTTTCAAGGTAAGAATACATTTTTACTGTTGATGTGATTGAGAATATGTGATTGAAAAAAAAAGGAAAAATTATTGATGTGATAGAAAATATCATTTTATTAAAAAATGTGTGGTTGAAAATGAGTAGAAGAATGAGAATGAAAAAAAATAATGTGGACCAAACAGAACCTTAGCATGTTTTGAAGTCCTTTTAGTTTTTCTTGTCGACTCATAATCCTCGAAGCACGCACCAACCTAAGCATATGAAGGAGAATTTTTTAAAAGTATAATATTATTCCAATTCTTTAACTACTATATAGTAAATTATTTAAAATTAATATTATACTAATTTTATAAAATTGCAGCGTTGCTCTCCGATCTATTGTTCAGATTTCATATTAGTCTTCCATCTTTAAACAAGAGCAAGTTAGTACCATATTCCCGATCTTTCATTAGTGTTAGACGCCCAACTAGATAAGTAATATATACAAAGCATGTAGGGCCATATTGGGAAGATAAAATTGTTAAAAATATTAATAATTTTAATAAGAAATAGATAAAGGGAGAACCATTAGAAAATAAATAAAAAAATTGGCATTTGATTTGCCCCGAACCAACCCTCTACAACCAAGATCCATTCGGTTCAATTTATAAATCTTGACATCTCTCACAACAGTTGAAGGTAAACTAGTTTTTATTCGTAAATTTTACTACATTTGACTAAAGAGGTCTGACTCTTCAATTTCATTTAAGGGACTTAAATCAACGCCTAAATGTCCAAGATTTAACTCGTTCCACCTCCGAGCCCCACCCCAACAATTCAGGAACAATTTAGGTCAACTAACACAATGAAGATACAATTTACTCAACGATTGCCTTTGAATTCTGAACTTCATGGGGAAGGAGTGGTGGTGTTTGAAATCATAAGGTTGGATGCAGGAACAAGAGAAAAAGATAATAATGAAGGCATTCAAGTCATTTTATTAGTCAAAGAAGAGATTGAGTAAATAACTTACTCTTATAATAACTATCACTTAAAAAGGGAGAAAGATAACCAACAAATTAAAATGAATATTTACTTATAGAAACTCATAAGAATCAGCATTTCATACTTACTACGAGAAATTAGGTTTTCTTTCAAATTTTCATATAAATCTAGTAAAATGTCGTATGATAACTGAGTTGAAACATGAAAATCTAACATGCTCACCTCAAAATCCGAAGGAACTTCCAAATTCTATCTGTCCTTTAGATTAATCAAAACTTACAAATCTATCATCATCATCATTCAAAAATAGCACGATGTTTGACATCACTTCAAAAAGAGGTCGAGGTTTTTCAAACTTCAGAACCTTTTAAGACACACATACAAGTCAAGCTGAATGAAACAACTCTCTCAGTGACTCACGCCTATGAAAAGGTTCCCAAAGAAGAAAGCATAACAAGGAAGAGAAAATAAACTAAATTATTCCATAAAAGTCATTGCTTGGTACACAAGGTGTGTGTACTACATAGGGGTGGCAACGACAGGAGCCAAGCCGAAATTCGAAGCTCGGGCTTGGCTCGAACAAAATGGGTTCGACTCTTTTTTTGCTCGAGCTGAGCCGAGCAAAGGTTTGGAAAAAAATTTGAGCCTCAGGTATCAACGGGCCGGTCTAATTTTATTTATTTTCAATTTTTTTTTAATATAGAACACAAAGGTCTGCCTCTTTCCCCCTTTTATTTCTTTTTTTTAATTTTATACGGGCCACATGGGCCGGTTAAGCTCGGCCCAATTTCCCAAAATGGGCCTCAGCTCGAGCTTCGACTCGGTTCTACCAAGGCTTTTGCGAGCCAAACTGACATCCCTGGTACCACACAACTTGACTAACTTCAACACTCCATAAACAATCTTGATAAGCTCCAAAATATGCAATGAATCAATATTTTCACCTGCTACATCTATCCCTCGAATTAATTGAAGAGACACATCTTCAGCAAATACTAAAAGCATCGCATAATCAATATGTTCGGATAAGATATGAATAATTCAGTTAATGAGATGCCAACACTGGCTCAAATGTTACTTCGTATATTGCTTAGTTACTAGTTTAAATCAAAATAAGTCCCAAGTCTACAAATGGCTATTGGAATTTATGTTCATATATCCAGGTTCTGTTTTCCCTTTCTTTTCAGGAGCAAATATCAGTTTATTACAACCCATTTATGTCAATCCTTCATTAATTCGCAAACATTTCATACACATTATCATGCTGAATGCTATCCCATGAATGATATCATGCTGCCTTTAAGTAACCGTTGAGACTTTGTGCCTAAAAACTTGACCTATTTTCCTTTTCTTGTCCACTCTCAACTGACATGAACTGGAACATTTAGTACGTGTGAACCATGGATCCTCCTCTAGGATGCCGTGTCCATGTCCAACAAGACCCCGACTTCTTAACACTCAGGGTCACGTATCCAATTTCCCCGAAACGTCTGACATGTTATGTGGTATTTCCTGTATTTTTTACGTTTTTCTTTTTAATTTCTAACATGCAGTGTAAGTGTCCTCAAAACACAAGGACTAATGAGCCCAATTTTGTAAATTCTAGAATATAAACTAAAAAAACTTAATTATGAAACTATTGGTGTAAAAGAGTCAACAAAATGTGAGAAAAATTGTATGAACTTCACCACAATGAATTTGTTTATATATATGATGCATGAATATTTTCATTTTGTTTCCGCTGCAACCTTGCAAAATGGATTTCTTCATCATAAAGAGGTTTTTCATTCCCGACCCTGATTCACCTTAATCCTTATTTGAACAAGTAAAATTCTACCTTGGTCCGAGTGGGGATTGATACTAAGTGCAACAAATACTCACTGAATTCAAAAGTTTTCACCTCAAAATTTAAAATAATAGTTAATAAAGAGTATTAATTACATTGAATTAAAGTTTTACATGAAAATGTAACATGAATAAATATGAGATTTTAGTAGAAGAGTGTTCGAGTGCACGTGTCCTGCTTTCTTAAAAAGTCAAGTGTCGTGTCATATTTTTGTGTGTATCCATGCTTCATAGAATTAGAAGTTATTAGTACAAGCAAAAGTTAATGCAAACAACCACTTGGAGGGTATGTAGACCCATACTTGAAGTAGAAAAGAAATCCTGAAAAACTCACTCCCACTCCTTGGCAGGCAAGGACTCAAGTGAGGAACTCATACACCTATAGTCTACCAGGCACATTTCACGGATAACAGGCCATTTTTAACAAAACCTTACAAAAGTGCACAGTAACACTGAGTCTTTTTATTTTTTTTTACCAGATATTGAATACATATCTAGAAAAGACGAAGCAAATTATTCTGAACAACCAATAATCTCTTCCACCCTATTTTGGTTAACAGTCATAATTTAAATTTTTAATCCAACAAGAAACTATCTAGCCTACAATCAAAATCAACTCAGCTCAGGAAGAAATAAAATAAGAAAGTACATGAAACAGCATAGTAAGAGATTACAGCTAAAAGTTCAACCAGACAACCAAAAAAGCCAAAGGCTGGAACCTCTCACAAGTACAAGCACATTCCAAATGTTTAATGACCTAAAACAAAAACATCTGAGTTATTGAGAGAAAAATAGGTAACTTTAAAGGAAAGAGAGGATGACACAATCAAGTTCCGAACAATCACAAAAGAATCTCTAAGCCTCCATTTGGGGAAGAATTTATAAACGATTTAATTTATAAATAGATAGAAATAAATGGAAAATAAGTGGATAGTACTTGTGGGTCACTGGAGTGTATGGTTGAAAATGCAATTTGACCATTTATAAATGATTTATAGATTTTGCCAAACGGAGTAAGTTGTAGAAAAATAGGTAATTCTACCTTTGAGCATAATTTTAAAAAAAGTGTTATTAATTGCATAGCATACAAGAATACATGTGGACAAAATATAGAAAAATAGTTATAATTTGAATATTGCAAGTGTAACCAGATCAAACATGTAGAAGAATTACTTAGCAGCTGATAAGAAAACCCACAGAAAGCAAAAAAGAAAGCAAAATTCAGGAATTAGAAATCAAAATGTAATAATGAGAAGCGGGAATTGTTAAATAAAGATGGACTAAAACCAGCATACATTCTATGTACACTAAACTGCAGAAAGCAGTTCACATTGGGAAAACCTTTGATTTCCAAGGGCATCGCCACCAATATTTTACCAGTGAAAACCGAAAATCACCATGAACATTTAAACTTAGAAGAATTCTAATACAGTAGTCTGAATCCTGAATCCATGAATTATTGACACTAAAAATGACACAATGCAAGCCAAATCTTTATAAGAATTAAAAATACACATAATGAAAGAACATCTGAATAATGATGGCGAGTCAACCCCAACACCTTCAATGCGAGAAACTACTAACCTGTCAATATCCACAAGCAGTCAGCTAGAATTACCAACCGGATCAGACTTAAACTGCTCATCATTACGTTCATTCTGTTTGTCAGCAGCAGCTCCATTGGTTCGACCAGAATTATAAAAATTATCATCTACATTACCCCTACTAGTCTGACTAGGCACTGACTCAGCTGCACCTTGAGTATCTGTGTTACCAAGTTGAGACGATTTTCCATTGAATCCAGTCCCAAAAATGCCATTATATCCATTGACAGAAAAGCCCATTACTCCAGCACCACCATTCAAGTACGAGGGATAGATGGGAGTTGTACTACCATAATGCAACAAACTTCCCCCAACTCCAACCATTGCAGAAGCATTCCAAGGACTCCTAGGGCCAATTGGAGTGAGATTATAACCAAGTCCACCATACCCTCCAGAGGGATAACCACCACCATAAGTACCAGTTCCATAAGGGTACCCAGAAACATTGCCATATCCAGAGGGGTAATACGGGTTATAAGTTGGGTAACTTCCTAGCTGATACGAGTTAAAATTAGAGCCACTTCCACCACCTGGTCTTCCATTAGAACCATTGTTACTACTGCTAATTCCATCCTTAGGTACAGCCCTTTTGACTTCCACGAGCTTTCCATTCAACTCGTAAAAGTTCTTCTTCATAACATCTTCAACAGAATCCTCCAAATCAAAAGTAATAAACCCAAAACCCCTTGGCCTATGGGTCATACTATCCTGCATAATAACTACATCAGTAATCATACCAAACTTCTCAAAGTAACTTCTGAATTCTTCTTCAGTTAGGTTAGCTGATAAACCTCCTACAAAAATCTTCTTTGTCCTAAACTTATCATTGCTCCTACCATTAGTCCTAGTATCCCTACTCAATCCCCTATTATGCTGCTGTTGACTTTGCTGTTGTTCACTCCTGGGAATTGCTTTTTTAACGTCTACCTATTAAAAAACATGGCAGACAAACTTTAATAAAAAGAAGGCACCCATGTAGCACAAGTATGCTTAGTAACACTTGCGAGTGCATAAAATAAAAATAAACATACAGGATAATACAAGACACTTGTATTAACCTAGTCTTCACTATGTTGCATACATAACGTTCTCTAACAAAACTCAGCACAATAATAAATCAGAAGAAACTTAAGTACTAGGGGTGGAAAAATCAAACCAAGATAAAAAAATCTTTAACAGAGTCAAAACAGAAATAAACTTTTCATTGAAGAGGTATCTGTTTATTTATACTTGACGGAGAAAAAAAATAAGAAATATACAATAATTTTAGTGCTGAATTAGCAAATAGGACAAAAGACAACACAATGAGTCATAAGACACTATAAACCATAAATACTAAACGTTTACCCCTTTTTCATTAATAAATGATGAAATATAAAAGATGAGAAATAAGGGAAAAAAAATAAACAACCCACGAATGGCGAAATCATATAAAGATAAACATACCCTCGGCATCCAAGAAAAAAAAAATGAATCTTCATAAAAAGAGGAGAAAAAACCCCCACCATCCAGCAAACCCATAAAAGAGTTTATATATGACACCTCATGAAAAAAAAAGGGAGAAGTAAATAATCGTACATATATAAGAGAGAAAATTAAAATATTCAAGCCACAATTTGCAAAGTAATACAAATTCTACCCACCCACAAACCGAAAAGCCTATGAATTTCAAAATTCAAACTTTATATGACAAAAAAATCCATGTATCAAAAAACCTAAATATTAAATTTTGAACCTATTAGGGAAAAAAAGAAGAAGTGGAATATCTACAGACCATTCTTCCAAGAATTTCATGGGAATCTTGGAGGGCAAGCTCAACGGCAGAAGATTCCGAAAAGCAGATGAAAGCAAAGCCTCTGGGGGTGCCCGTATTCCGATCCTTTGCTATCACAGAGCTAATCACGGTTCCATATTTGCTAAAATGCTCTTTAAGAATTTCGTCCGTCGTATCCCACGAAATACCACCCACAAATAGCTTTCTCTCGTCCGTATCCTCCATTCTTGACCAAGAAACAGAAAACAAAAACCCTAGAGGGCTAGGGTTTTGGTTAATAGTAGCAGCAAAGGAGAAAAAAAATGCCAATTTGGCGGAAAATTATAGAATTGGGATAATAAGAGGTCGCGGGTTGGAATCCTTAGGAGAATCCAAGTGCAAATGGGATACAATTTGGGTATGGTTTTTGTTGTTACTTAGGAAGCAACGACTTCTCGAGGTTTGACGCGTTAAGAGTTGTAGAATGAATCTCCTACTCCAAGTCCCAGGTGTGGGGAAAAAATTGTACTTTTTCAAAATGAAACAATAGTGACGTTTGTTTTTCTTGATCCGTTTTGTAAAGATTCTGACTTTCATTCTTTTAAGTAATTTTTTCTCAAATTAATTTTTAATTATAAATTTTATTAATAAAACAATTTTACATATAAATTCAAACTTTTTTTATCTTTTAACTATAATAAATTCTTCAAAAAACTGCCTTTTTACAAAGTTTATTATAAAAATTGGACTCTAGCAAACAAGGGCATGTATATGTACCTTTGATTTATCCTATATAAACATGTTATTACATTTTTGTACTGATTCGTTTAAGGATATCTTTTCGTATTTTTAGTTAGATGATAGTGCTTCTTCTAATTAAAACGAAACGATCTTTTTAGATTTTTGTATAACTTGTTTGATTTTAGTGAAATACGATATTACAACAATTATTAAATGAACAAGTCAAATTTTAAAACATTATAATTTTGACCAGTTCAAATTAGTTGCAATCATATTGTAAGATACCATGAAGTAACATACTTTTATTTTAGCTTCTTTTTTTTTTTTTAAACAATAAATTAAAGCTCATTTATGGATTTATTTACACAAAAGAACCATAAAGTTATGTTAAAGAATTTTAATTTAAACTTTTATAGTCATAATATTTATAGTATGTTGCATCATGAAAATTGTTAACCTCAAAAAATCAAGGGCCTTGTTGTCAATGAGTCCACTACACATCCCTATCACGCTACACACACACACACACAGCCTAGCTTGGGGGATTAGCTTTTCCTCGACCTATTTTGGAGTAAACTGGAAAGTAAGGATTTGTCTAGCTCGTTCGAGGGAGCAAGAACCTCCGGCTTCTGATGAGCAACGAAGTAAAGCAAAAAGGTACCTAGGTGCTTTTGGATTTTTTCAGCCAATGATCATAGGGCACTAAGTTTTTAGAGACCCTTGCAGACTTAATCATTCGAGTCATAAATGTTACAAAGAGAAGTTTCACAATAAAATAACACCACATATTTACTATTTTTTAATATTTTTTCCTTTTCCTTTTTTTTAATGATCTGTACAATGCCCTTTTATAAACAGTTATTTTCAAAAATCGACCCCCAACTTAAGATCCAAACCTAATTTTCATCTTATTAACTTTAAACAATCCATACAAAAATTAGCATATATGGAATCCACATATATATCAATGTCTCCCTACAACAGTTCAATCACCCCAAACTGTCCTACAATTGGTTTAAGGATATATAATTTAGTGGTTATTTGGATTTAGCATCTAAGGTCCACTATTTTTTTTTTTTCACCTATTCAAATTTTGAATCAAACTATTTTTTCATGATGCAAAACATAAATCTTGTGCGCAAAACTATCAAATTTCATATGAATAAGCATAAATTAACCTTAACACGTAACTTTTTCACAATTTATAATCTAATACACGATTTCAAATATATGCATGTAGGCAGGGGCGGACGCAGACTTTCGAAACTAGGGGGTCACAATCTAACTTTCAGATTTTTTTGGGAGGGAGAAAAGGAGAAACGGATTACGGGATGGATTTTGGAGACGGAAGAGAACTGAGAAGAGAGGCAACTCAGGGGGTTGGGCTGCAAAATTCACCTAATCTCAACCAAAATTCACCCACGTCCATCACACAGACAACTTTCACCAAAACCACCGCAAACAACCCCCACACCAAACCAAAACAAAAGTCCTCACCTAATCAAATCACAACCACAACCACAACCACAACCACAACCACAACCACATTCCCAATTTCTTTTTTCATATTAATTGAACATTGATTAATAAATAATAAGTAATAACACAAAATATATAAACCTCATTGATTTCACACAACACCAAAAGGCAGTAAAGTAATTGAAACATAAACCTCATAAACCATTAACAAATTCTCAAACAGAAAAAACCACCAAAATTCAATCTCCTACTACTTATAAATTCCATACTTTCAAATTTTCCAAGTAATTGAAACTGTGAGATTCGTCAGAAGCAAATCATACAACTACAGCCACTTTTCAATCTCCTACTACTTATAAATTATATACTTTCAAATTTTCCAAGTAATTGAAACTGTGAGATCGTCAGAAGCAAATCATACAACTACAGCCACTTCGAAATTTGAATCAATAAGTTTCAATTAAATTAACTGAAAACACTTCCAATACTTCACATATTATCTGACAAGATTAATCCACCCTAACCCATTACCAAATTTGCAAACACAAATCATCACAATTCAAAATTACCTTCTCTTATTAAAATACATAATCAAATACACATAGCAAAATCCAAAATCAAATACACACACAGAAACTAACCTTAATTCTGTTACAGATTAATGGGAGTCGAAGACTCGGAGTCGCATAGATTCGCTTCGCCCAGTCGCAACTTCTTCTTCTAATTGGAATTGTCGAATTGTGAATTGGGAGAAGGGTTAACTTTGCCTGTTTTGGAATTGGACCATTTCCTCCATTATTGGGCCTAATTCTTTTACACAATAATCAGCCCAGCTGCCCAAGTGCCAAAAAAAAAAAAGACAACATAGCTCGGTTCAACTTCTTCTTCTCTGTTATCTTCTCCACCATTTCTCCCTTTTCCAGTCCAGCTCTGCAATCTTACCCCCCTGCGTTGCTGCTGAGAAAAAAATTTTCCCCAAAATCTACAGGGGCACGTGCCCCTGTAGGCCCCTGTGTAGGTCCGCCCCTGCATGTAGGCAAAATTATTTAACCCATATAAGCACACGAAAACAATAAATAAACTGGAAATAGATTTTTTTTTTAATTAAACAAGCACACGAACCAATAGAAACTTAATGTTTTTCCACCTCCAAACTTATAACAGACATTGTCCTCAATGTCTAAAAATATAATATGCAATATTTAAAATTTAAGGGCAAAGAAGGGAACTAAGTACTCCCCCTAATATATATTTAAAGGTGGTAGATGGACTGGTATGAAAGTTTTCTTCCATATACCACTTCAAAGAGAGTGCTTTTGACAGGTGAGTGCCAACTTGTGTTGTAGCAAAACTATGCCCATGTGAGCCATTTAGTCCACTGCTTGGGTTGTGAGCTCGTGAAGCTCCGCAAATACATCTCTTATGTTCTGTTTACCACTTCAGTCTGGCCATCCGTTTGAGGGTGGTAACTAGAACTGAAGTTGAAATCTGTCCCTTGAAGACCAAATAACTCTTGCCAAAATAAACTGGTGAACAATGAGTCTCTATCACAAACAATGGAGCAAGGCATACCATGAAACTTGAAAACATTATAAAAGAATATTCTAGCAACTCCAACAGCTGTATATGGATGAGACAGAGCAATAAAATGGGCATATTTGGATAAGCAGTCAACTACAACAAAAATTGTTGATTTACCATTAGAGGGTGGGAGTCCATCAACGAAGTCCATGGAGATGTCCTCCCAAACTTGCTCTGTAATTGGAAGAGGTTGAAGAAGTCCTGCTGGCGCCATATGTTCTACCTTATTCTTTGGCATGTGTCCCAATTTTTAATATAATCCTTAATTCTTTGCCTCATCCCAACCCAGTAAAAATTCGAACGAACTCGTTGTAAGGTTTTGACAAATCCTTCACATGTACTGCCATGAAATTAATCAACTAGTGTTGGAATCAAAGGTGAATCACCAGCCAATTATATTCGATCCATGAAGAATAGGATGTCATCTTGAAATCTCCAAGGCCTATGGCTTATTCGATTTGAACATGCTGTACCAAAGCTTGCAAACTGACATTGGATCAAATTTCATCCTTGATGATGTCTAGCCAATTTGGAACCACTTGCAAGATTGCATAAAGTTTTTTAGGGTCCTCCTCATAGTTTCGGGAGAGAACATCAACAGCCACATTTTCTCTCCCACTTTTGTACACCACCTTGAAATCAAACCCCATCAGCTTGTACAACCACCTTTGTTGAGCCATGGTTGTGATCTTTTGAGTCCACAAGTGCTTCAAACTTTGATGATCAGTTCTCACAATGAATCTCCTTCCCAGCAAGTAGGATCTCCACTTCTGTACTGATAATACCAAAGCCAATATTTCTTTCTCATAAGTAGATAACAAGAGGTGTTTACCTTGTAGGGTTTGGCTAAAGAAGGCTATAGGTCGCTCTTGCATCAGGACTGCTCCAACTCCCGAACCTAAAGCATCACATTCCATTATGAAAGTTTTTGTAAAATCTGGTAGAGCCAAAACTGGTGCACTGGTCATGGCTTCCTAGAGTTTGGAAAATGCCTCCTCAGATGCTTCATTCCACTTAAAAGAGTCTTTCTTGAGCATTCGTATGAGATGACCAACAATCTTTCCGTAATTTCGTATGAATTTACGGTAGTACGCGGTCAATCCCAAAAATCCTGGAAGGGCATTAGGTGTCTGGGGATTAGGCCATGTAAGCATTGTCTCAATTTTCTCTAGATCTACAGAAACTCCTTCAGTAGTAATTAGATGGCCAAGATATTTGACTTCCCTTTGGTCAAATTGACATTTTTCTAATTTTACATGTAACTCATGAGTTTGTAAAATTGAAAATACGACATTTAAATGTAATACATGCTCATCCCATGATTAGTAGTGAATCAGTATATCGTTAAAAAAACTAAAACAAATTTTCTCAAATAATCACAGAATACTTCATTCACGTGGGCTTGAAAAGTTGATGGCGCATTAGTCAAACCGAAGGGCATAACC